GTGTATTTTTATTAGTACCGCGTTTTTTTGTAATTCACCTTGGACAAAAGCATCAGCCAAATTAAAAAAAACTACTAATGCAGCAAGTGGGTATTTTTCAGCAACCAATCAAAATCTGACATTTCGGAATGCTCGCCTATTACCCAGAAAGCTCTGCTCAGGTAAAGGACTTCAAGATCCTTGTTGGAAAATTGGATGTTCCTGTACTCCCATTTGTAAACAGACAACTCCATTTTTCAAATACATCACATTATTACTATTAGTTCTTCTAGGTTACAAAAACATTCTTATTTCCTGTGTGCCAATGTGTTTACATCATGTTTAAATTCAAACTGCTGAAAAACATCACACAGAATACTTAATGCATTTTTTTATCCTTGGATGTTTGCCATCTACCTTTCCTTGCACTGGCACCTATATTTATAACTTTTACACATTTAAAACAGTCCTTTTTGGTGGTGTTATTAATTACCCTGCCCTGGGGGGTAAACACACCTTGGAAATCCTGAAACAGCTTTTTAAAAAACAAGTAGCTGTTTTTTCATTTGGCCATCAACCTTCACTGCCTGTCCTCAATGAGTAGCAGCTATCGACAGGAGCTCTGCACCAAAGTTTACCTACATATCTCAAGGAAAGTATCACAGTGCTCAGTCAGTGTCTGTATTAACCCCTCTCTCAGTGCAGTGCTACCCACAGGTGCCTTTACCAAAGTTCACCTAAAGATCTCAAGCAATGCAGCCACCATAGGACTGCTAAACTTAATTTTCTGATCTCTGGAGCGCACTTGCCCCATCTCACCCTGCTAAACAGAGTCAGGCAATGCTTTGTGCCAGGCCTGAGCTGCGCTTTCCTGTCTTCCCCCCCCCCCGAAAGGTGGGAGAAGTGTGTGCCCAGGTGAATGATGGGAAGGGTTAGCAGAACTCCCCCAGGTCACGAGGCCTGGGAAAGAAAAGGAGGGGGATTTACTGGGTACTCTTTTGCTCTGCACGCCTTACGCCTTGATATGGCCCCCTGGCCGATTTTTACTTTTGATCATTAAAAGCTACACTCTAAAGCTATAAAACAACCACACAGCGCTTGGAGACGAATCAGATTCTGTTCATTTAGAAAGTTTTAGGCTAGTGCGTTTAGCAGCTATTTAAATCAGGCCCCCGGGATTTCAGATGACATAGGTGTGCAGCTAGATGGCCAGCAGCCATGTCACCCTGCAACTTAAAACTGGCAGCCCACTGAAGCTAAGCAGGTGTGAGCCTGGTCAGTACCTGG